CACACACACACACACACACACACACACACACACACACACACACACACGCGGGAGAGATAAGAGACAACCTTACAGTGACATCTAGCACCGTGACAAATGATGTGACACTGGCAGCAATAAACCTTTTAGTCTTGACAGTTGTCACAACGGTGTGTGTGTGTGTGTGTGTGTGTGTGTGTGTGTGTGTGTGTGTGTGTGTGTGTGTGTGTGTGTGTGTGAGAGAGAGAGAGAGAGAGAGAGTGAGAAGGTGTGCTTCTCTCTTCGTCCTCCTTGCAGACTCAATCAGCTCTCAGGTGATTTTGTTGCCATGGGTAACAGCAACAGAATTCCTCCGCCACTCTGCAAAGTCACGCCGATGTCTACATTTATGTAAATGTTTTATTTTTTAAATACAGCTTTGATATGAGCCCATTAGAGGGGAAAATGGTCTTCATGGCAAAAAGCATCAAACAAGTCCAGTTCAAACTGATTAATTCAAAGTTTTAACTTTGTGGAGTTTGAGTAAAGTCTTAAAGCTACAGGAGTTCCTCTGAGAGATGCAACAGCTTCTGCTGGGGATTCTGGTCAGGGTTAAGTGTTATTACCCTCTGCTGTGAAAGCTGGGATGGCTAATATAGCTTTAATTACTTTTTATTTTATTTCAATTTTTATTGATTTTACTAAACTAAACTTTTCCATCGGCATGCTAGACTTATCCTTTACATGTTTGTCAGTTTATCTGCAGATGTGAAACTCAGAAGTGGCCAGTACTAAGATCATTGTGGTTGGGTTAACATCTTATTTGTTCAATGTTCAGTTTCAAATTGATCAATTTCTATGTGTATTGTATTTAATGTCTTAGGTTTTAGTACATACACAGTTTCTAATTTATGCACTTCATGGGAAGCTTTATGTGCAATTTATGCTTCACTTGGAAGCACATATGTTTTTTCCCCTCTGTAACAAAGACAACATGACGTTTAAGTTGAACATTTAAACCTCATTGTCTGGCCGATCACAACAGATTCTGCAGACACAGCTGTTGTCTGACAGCAGCAGCACTCGTGAAGACTTTATGAAATTAGTGGGTCTGAATATGTTTAGATGTTGGCACATGTATGGTATTTATACAGGATGTGGAATAAAAATGTGAGTGCGTGTTTCTGCTTTGCCTGTTGGCACTCAGGTGGTCCAAATCATATTTAACTTTATATTTATGTTTGCATTGTGAAGGGAGAGCAATGTGGTGAACGCTTAGTGACTGAGGCGAGAGATGCAGTCATGTCATGTTGGATATATTTAGGCGGATCCCTCAGGGAGGCTCAGTAATAGCACTGGCCATATTGTGCCATTTCTTCAGCATTTCAAATAACATCGGGAATAAAATACTCCTGTTTTACCCATTATTTTCCATTTTAATTCAGTTAAACATTTTGTGAGAGAGAAATTGCTTTGGAGACTACAGTTACAAAAATAATACACAAAACATGTTCCAGGTATATGGCATGGTTTACCTATTTTAACCATCTTCGCCACTGTGCTCCTCGCATGCAATACTCATAGTAGTGTTTCTATTCTATTCTAATTTGCAGGAAACAAGAACGCATTTGTGGTCATTCGGAAACGGCATATTCCTTGATCAGGGAAGCAGCTGCCTGTTCTCCATCTATTTTTTGCAATTCTGACCTTTATAGTAATACAGAGATTTGTGTATTGCTTCATTCATTATAAGCTATGATCTTAAGGTCCGAAAAAAAGAAGATATTCAGCATTATATAACACCAGCATTTCTCTCTCTGTGACAGCGGAGAGGTGAGGCTATTGTTCTACATAAACACAACTAAAGGATGGATTAGTTCCACTCACTGATCTCTTGTACTATTGATGTTCCTGTGTTCACTGTCTTGATGGTAATCCATGATTCACTCATGTGTTGGATCATTACTTCTTGAAGGACATACACTCTCCCTGAGATGCACTGTACGCACGTCAAGCGGGCCTGTTTAGATGTCAGCCTTTGTACGGAATGTTTCTGTTAGAGTGAAAAAGTGATAACCACAAAACTGAGTTCTCCGTACTACTACTCATTCCTAAGATTAGAAGTGAGAGAACCAAGGCTGTGATGATGTGGCTGTAAAACAAATAGCTTAGTGGTGGCAGTTAATAAACTGCTGTGAATAAAAATGAATCCCGTCACCACGCTGTAAGTGCAGTTAGGCAACAGAAAATCTGTGGTATCTGTGGTAATGATGTGCAGAGTCGGTAGACCTGTGTGCGTCTGTGTCTGTTCACATGTGCTTGTGTGCTGGAGTGTGAGCCATGTGTTGATATGCTGATACAGGCGGTTCCTGTGACACATTCCTGCCCAGCTTGGCTCAGATCAGGCAAGCTGATAATTTTAGCAGCGCTTATGTCAGTCAGTCCCGCTGTGTGTGGACAGCCAAGAGTAGGTACCACTCTTCCACATTAGTCATCCACTACATCACCCTTGCCAGAGGGACTATACATGATGAATGTGTGTGTTGCAACATGCTAGTCAGCAGACAGGCCTCTCTGTTTTTCTGCCCTGCCATCATAGCAGCAAGCTGGTGTTTCAAGCAGACTGACTACAAGACGAGCAGCGCTGAATTAGGCATCACAAATGTGTGGTCAGTATGTGATTATGTTTTTATAGAAGCAGCACTTCAATAAAATTCAATCCAACACAATACAGTACTGCAAAAACACTTCCTTTGTGGTCATCTTAAACCCTTGTTCGACTGGATTGCATTATATTGGAAGGCGTTTCTGTTATTTTGTCCACCAGGAGTGTGGTTAGGCCACATTCTTAGTTTTCCTGGTTCATGTGCAGAGGTTGACAAACGTGCAAATCCTAAATCCTCTGACCTATCGGCATGACGAAAAAATTTAGTAAATACATTTCCACCCGGTTAGGAAAGCCATAATATCAAAGCCATAATAAACATTTATTATTCAATGACAGGGTTTTGACATGATGTCCGTTCACAATGTGATCGGTGTTCTGGATATTTGGCTCTTACATAAACCACATTTTTGACCTCTTTTTTTCCCCGATGATGACAAACGTCTAAACTTCCCACACACCTGGATAAATAAACACTCGCACAAAAACATGGAAGGTCTGTTAAACTACTTGTCACATCATTGTGGTCCGGATTCTGTTTTGCATTGTGACATGGACCGAGCTGTTTATGTTCATATATGTTTAGCTCAGGGCGTCTATTCCCTCAGTTATTTAAAGAATCAAATTATTTCAGGATCAGCTCCTCTACCCTGTGGCACATGCTCCTATTTCACTGAAATATTTCTCTCTGCTTGGAGAGCGTTGGCTAAGATAAGAAAGATGGTGAAGAAATTTGACATTGAGACATTTGAATATACACAAAATGTGGATTATAAGGTGTTTATTTCTTATGCTTATACTGTTTATTTTACAGGTTTATATATACTATATATATTCTGTTGATTTTCATTGTAAAACACATGCAAGAACTAGAAAGTTCTCCGCCAGGTGTGCCTGCAACGACCACTGCTGTATAGTGTGATTTAATTAAATTCTGAATTAAACTCACAATTGTCAAACACCCCCATCTAGACACCAAGACAAGAACCAAAAAAGCGACAATTTATCCATGTAAATCAGTCTTCGTATTCCTCAGATGTTGTGTCATGTCTTCAGATGGTTGTAGGAAGGTGACCTAGAAGATATTTTTTTTGGGTAATGTTTTTCAGTTATTCTGTTGATTGTTTGGAGCATGCGATGCAATACAAATGTTCGTGTGAAAATGCTCATCTCATCTCATCTGTGAGATGTGAGCTTCCTGTGCTGCTCATGTATCAGTTTCTCGAGGCTCAGCGGAGATGAGCTGCTGTTTCTGATGTCTGCCTTGATGTTGTTTGAGTCAAGAATCCTCTTGATGAAGTTCTGTTTGCAACAGACTGAATATGAGGGGAGATAAAAACGGTTTCATGACTGCAGTGGTCACAGATTGAGGTTTATTTCAGATGTAAGGACTTAAAATATAAGTATTTGACTCATTTATTCCTGACTTTATTTCTAAACATGTAGCTTTTAGCATCTCTACACAACTACAAGCAGTGTCTGACGTTAAAAAGGATGTAACCAAGAGGAGGCTAAGATTTTCCCTCGGCTGGTCTGTTCTGTATTCATGTAAATTAAAGGATATTTGTGTGAAGTGGAGCAATCAACACACAATTTACACTCACACACCTGCTTTCCCTGAGGCCAGCTGTGGTGTAAAGACAGCTGGGTAGCTGAAAGGAAGCGTCAGTATTTTATTTTCAACTTATCAATCAATCTGGTTTGCATACACGGTAGACCTGTGCCTTTGATATCAGCTGCCAATAACAAGACAGATTCTTACAATAGTGTTTGCATATCGTCTCAAGTGTCTAGATACTGTGTGTGTATGATACATTTATGCATTTGCATATTTATCAACTTTTTATCTTGTTTTTCAAGACAAGGCTGGCAACCAATCAAAAAACACAAAAAACCCCAAGGATATGAGGGCAATGCTTTGGGATGTTAATGCCATAGTTAGCGTACATGAATGACATTGTGCACAAATAAATCTCAGATGTGTAAAATGTGCATTGCATGTATTGGACCGTAATGGAACAAGGCCCATGTAAATGATTAGTATGTGAATCCCTCTGGAGTGTTTCTGAGTCATTACTCTGCTGGTCATCTGAGGATCCCTTGGCTTTTTCCCAGTGTGTGTATGTGCGCAGTGCAGAGCACGTGCCTGCCAGTGGTGTGAGGGGGATAAGAACTGATAGCGCTATATATAGATGTATATGTATGTGGAGGCTTAAGACTGAACTGTGCAGCAGAATGGAGGCTTGCCGAGCATACTAGCGAGGGTTACACAGGCTGGTCCATGCACGCCATCTATTATCTCTGGGTGTGTATTCTATCTTTGTGAGGAGCAAATTAAGCTTTAAATCCTCAGAGTTAGGTGTGTGTGTGTTTTTGAATGTTATTGGTGTAACTTGAGCAGCTATAAAGGAAAGGGTGAGTTGGGTTGAAGATTGTAACAGCTGACTGTGTGTGTGTATTTGTGTGTGAAGGATGGTGTCAGGCCCGGAGCTATCAGACTCCAACACCATCATGGTTGCCCTGAGGTATCAGGATTGTTCTCTGCTACACAAGAGCCCTCTCGTTATTCGTTATAGTGTGTGAATGTTCTGTGTATACTGTCATTGTGTGTCCCTTCTACCTTCATTTTCATCTAGTTCTTGAGTCCTCCACATCTTCTGAGTTAACTTTCGCTCAACATACCAATCCTTTGGAACGCAGCAGGCAGAGGCAGGAGGATACTACAGTACACTGTGTAGGGAGAGTATGTAAAACCCAGCATCAAACAAGAAATAACTTTGCATCATGTGTGCAGCACCCCGATGTGGGCACGCTGTTGGCTGCAAGCAAGCACAGCAGCACGCTTAACCCCATTTACTCACTCTCACAGAACCTCTTGTCACGTTATCTGTTGTGTAACAGAAAAATGACATACAACATTGAAGATAGGTGGTTCTATGAAAATATAATTCTTTGTTGACAGCCTGAAGTGAGTTTGGATTTTGTTGTTGGTGAACATCACTGTCATTACTTTTATTGTTCCACCTCTTTCTGACCCCCGGGCAGAAGGGTTTCTTTTGGTTGATGATATTGCATAAGGCAAAGAGTGCAGTGGGTTTGTTTCTATCTCTTAGCTCAAACTAAAATGTGTCTCAAAACATTCTGGGCTTTCTGCTGAAACAACCTTTTTTAGTTTGGAGCCAAATTCTGAAAAAAAACAGATTTTATTTTATTTTTTGATGACCTCTAGTCTTACAATACTCCCATTATATAATGTGTACTACTAGCTTCAGGATACTCAGTGTGGGTGACACTGGTGGTTCACCTTCCTCTATTTTAATAACTGCAGGAGTCGTACATTCTGATAAAACTGTCGTTTCAGCAGAAAGCACAGCGTTAAACCACTAATGCAGTGGAGCGCTCACTGCAGGGATGACAACAGTGCTGCATCTGGTATATTAGTCGTGTCAGATTACTTATTCTGGAGCGTGAAAACAAGACATCCAATGAGATTCTTCTATCCAGCTGCAATATGTTTGTGGGTCTTGTTTTGGTTTGGAAAGAATCATCAGATCTTGTAACTACTATTAAGTTAAGCAAGCGTTGCAGCAATATAAAAAAATATATATGTATGTGAACCTGCGCCACTGATCATTCTCTGAGTGGTATTTTTCATCCTCTGATCCTCTGCTTCCTGTTAGACCCACAACAGCAGTCTGGCCTCTTGAGTTCAGGACATGGGATTTTCAGAAAGGTGGGCGTGGAGGAAGCAGAGCCGGAAGCGAGGGAGGAGAGATGACTGCACCCAATCCGCACGGATGAACTGTAGAATGATGTTTTTGTCAGAGAATCGTTACCTCTTGCACCAGATTAAACTCTGACCACCTCACGAGGATGGGGCGTTTAAGGGATTGGTTGCAAAACTTTATTGTGACAGGATATTCAGCTTGAAATTCAAAGTGATAATCCCCTTTTCTTGTATTAAGGGTATTTTCTTAATCCCTGCATATGTGTAATTTGATATTATAATGCTCGGGGGAGAGGCATGTGTTCCAAATTCTCATTGTAAGTGTTTTTTTAAAGGTGACATCGTGAATTATGTAACTATGTTTTGTTTGGCTGCCCTGCGCGTGTGTGTGTGCGTGTGTGTACTTGGCTGGCTGAGCAATGACGTATTTCTTCATAACTTTAACTGGAGGCCAAATGATCCAAATGCTTAGAAGATCGTCAGCTGCCGTTTCAGTTTGTTAGGAGCAAGCTGCATTCAAGAACCGACCCTGTTTCTATGTGCAATCATCACAGTTTTGAGTGTGCACATTTCACAAATGAAATAAGTATGCAGCAGATTAAGACTTTATATGCAATTTCATTCCTGGATTCAAGTTTGTTGTCTGTTTAGTCTCAACAGTTGGTCTTTTCCTATTCTTGTCCGTTTCAATCTTCGCCTCTCACTCCCTCTGGCCAGCACGAATTGTTGGCCTATGATGCAATCCCTTATCCCTGCTAGTTTAAGTTCCCCAGCCAATCAGAGCGCGGCAGTCGGATACCCAGCTCATGCTTGAAAACAGGACTGACAGTAGGAGGGACTTTCAATTGACTGTCCCTCCCCCTGTTGTCATCCCAGTTCAGCCTTTTTTTCAGTGTGTTGTGGTGGAAAAGCAAAAAAGGCGACAGAAGGAAAAGGGAAAAGGAAGACTGGTCAGCAGGGCCGAGGGGAGAGACGAGGGAGGAAGTGGGTGTGCGTGTGTGAGTCAGGGAACACAGAGCTGCCATGGATGGTTTCTAAATTGTTCTACTCCACGCTACTGACAGTAGGTAGTCTTTTTTGTCAACTCTGTGTGTGTTTGTCCTCATCTAAATACATGTGTGCTTACAACTTTACGTTATCAGCTCAGCTGGTACCAGAGAGGTGTGAGGTTGGATGTCTGTCCAAGCTGTCAGCACATATTCATAGCTGCACAGGTGCGTGACAGTGATCAGGAGGGCAGATTCTTTATTCATTCCTTTCCTTATTAAACTGTCTGTCTCTCCGTCCCTTTTCCTGTCCTCTTGATGAACTGGGAAGAAGACGTTAAATGTCCCGTCTTTCCCCTCCCCCCCCTTCTTAATTTACACGTGTGTGTTAAAAGAGATACACATGAGCTGTGAGGATCCTATTGTACAGTAAAAGCAACAGCAGAGGTTTCTGTTCTCAATGAGACAAAGAAAACTGCTACTTTTGTATTCAGTTACGCCAGCAGTGAATAGACTCATTGTGTGTTAACTCTGCAAGTGTTAGCTTGTTGTCTCAAACAAACATGCAGCAAACATGCCCTTTAACACACACACACACACAAACAATTAGTTACACATGCAAAAGCTGTAATCCTGTGAGTTTGGGGGTTTAGTCGGGCGTAGGTCACCGACAACATTACTGCTGTTATTACTGCCCATATAATGGCCAGGAGAATTATAACACATTTCATTTTGATGGTATTAGTTGACAGCTCTCTGCAGGATGCATCATTTTTTAAGCTTCCGGCAGTCCTGCATGGGCTTGGCTTTATCCCACCCTGCTGCCTGTAACTGCAGAGTCTTGAATCAGTACGTCTTCACTCAGTTCTTCGATTTCCCAAACCTTTCAGTTAACTGGTCATGGTTACTTTAGAGCATCAAATCGACACATTGTGGCCTACTGAATGCATATAACTATAAACATGCTCGTCATTAGCGATCATTCAGGTGCACGCATGCTTTTGATCCGCCTAATAAAACTGTGCTTTAAAATATAACTAATAGTAAACAAAGAGGAAACACACACTATGCAACAGTGCCCCGGTATTATTTTAGTTTCACCGTCATTTCTTCCTCGCCTACCCACTAATACATGCGTCTAAATTTAGACAGACATCATTACCGATATTAGTATCAGTGTGTTCTAGCACAGACAAAGAAGTGTGAGAACTATACGGGACATCCTGTGGGTGATCCGTCTTTTATTCTACTTCCTATGGAGAGACATTCAAGTTTCTCTTTATCAGAATCCAACAGAGACAACCGGATACTCTTAAAGTGCCAGTTTGAAGCACAGGGTTTATAGAGAACAATGCATATTTAGATTTAGACAAAACATGAGCTACGTACCAGTAATCATTTCCGTTGGACACCCTGCCTGTCCCTCACGTTCTCATGGTTGGCCGCTTGAGGAGTGACCTTTACCCTCCCAGTCTACAGATTGTATGTCACTGGATGCTTTGCGTGAATGTGGGTTTGTGTGTGTGTGTGTGTGTGTGTGTGTGTGTGTGTGTGTGTGTGTGTGTGTGTGTGTGTGTGTGTGTGTGCAGTGGGCAACGACAGACAATAGGACATGAGCTACATGGTACATAGGGGGATTGAGTGCTGTATTAGATCCAGCAGTGACAGATGTGCGGAGGGGGGGGTCCTGTGGGGGATGATGATTATCAGTGTGGTTGGTTGTAAGAGTTTTTGTGTGTTTGTCTCCTTGTCATTGGGTGTGTAAGATTTAAACCTACTATATATCTTAAGGCCATGGATGTTTGTTTGTGACATGCTGAGACACTTGTCATTGTTGCCAATGGCATGGCAGTAGCAACTTTAACATACCAAAGTAATTATTATGCCATATGTGTTCAGGCTTGCACTGATGAATGTGAAAGTGGGCCGAGTTGGAGCACTAGTTTGTGTTGCTAGGCAGAATATCCAAACCTTGTAGCTGTATTTCTATAATGGATGAGACTATGTAAGGCACGAGGCTCCTCCGTTCTGGTCACCTCACAGAGTTTTGCTACTATTTCAAGTTGTCACTGACATATGCGTTATTCTTTATTCTATTATTCTGTTCTTTAAAATGTACGTATGTTTTCTAGTTCAAATCTGTGCTGGCATGACATCATTTGTAACATTTTAATATCATAAACGATTTTCATACATTGACTGAATTCTGTGTTTAAAGGCAACATGATCTCTTATTCAAATACAAGCAAAATGGTGCCCAGCCACCAACATTTAAATGCAGGATTATAACTTGCTGTCACTCAAACATTGATAGACATATGTTTTTTTATACACTCAACAACTAAATAGAACTGCTACGTCAGTAAATTGTAAGCAGGCCAATATGTGTGAAGCACATTCAAGTTTTCACCTATATCAAACTCTTTAATTATATATGTACTCTAAATCTATGTGTATACATTGTCTTTTCATTTTGTATGTTATACAAAAGCATATGGTTTGATATAGAGGGAACATGTATGAACCCAAATAAAGTTTAGCAGTAGTGAGACCTCACTTGTGACTTGTAAATATAGACAGACTGACGAACACAAATAGAAGGAAACATAGACATTACTCAACACATTCTGTTTCAAGTCACATGTGTTTGTGTAAATGTCACAACAGGTCGGGAGTATGTATTTTTATTTCAGTAGCCAGGAAAGCTTGTTTTAATGCATTGTTGTGGATTTGTAATAAAAGGATTCTCTTTAACCACAGACTGCATTTATTGTTTAGTTAAAAAAAAACTTATTTTACTGCTTTGGGGTTCTTTGAGATGTTAATCAAAAGCCAGACACATGGCCGTACTGGTTCGTCTACATCTGCTGCTGTCTGTACACTCAGGACTGCTTCTATTTCACGCTATTGGCTTTTGTCTGGTATTAACCTAGAAATAACACCATAACAATGGACACGTTATATTATGATCAAGTAATTAAGCAGCTTTGGCTCCTCGTGCCTGCTGTGGTATGTTTACTAAGCATTAGCAGCCCTGAAAGTGACACTCGCTTTAAAAGCTTTTTGGACAAATATAGTCAAATATTCATGTTTTTATTTTTGTCTCTCTGCAGGTTAACTTCTGTCATTGTCCGTGGCTTTAAATGTCCTCTGCCATGGCAAAGCGTGAGGCTGGAAGCACCAGCCCTGTGGTGAGTCAGATCGACAAGCAGTTTCTGGTCTGCAGCATTTGTCTGGATCACTACTCCAACCCCAAGGTCCTCCCCTGCCTGCACACCTTCTGTGAAAGGTAACTAACATTTGTGCTCTCTGTTTGAATGACAACTGTCAATGGTCCGAATTACTTGCACTCAAGCTAAACCCGACACCAAACCCAAGTCTCTGCTCACACTGTCTGCAACATGTAACTTTTGCTGAGCCATGCAAAGAAGGTGGTAAAACAGTGAAACGTTTCCCTTTCAGTGCCTACCCTCCCATCCTTTTACTCAATAATTAATGTCTACTACTAGAGGAACCGCATCTATTGCAAATCCCTGGCCACAATTAGACAGCTCATAGCACTTTTCCTCACCGCCTCCACTGAGATAAGTGCATTCCGCAGCATTAGGGACCGTCAACGTCTTAGAAAAGGCTCATTGTTGGAGGACACAGTTATAATTCCTCAACAGTGCCTCGGAAAGATGACACCTCCTCAGGCAATACTTACTGGGGCCTTTTGCGTGCCGAGCCCAGCAGGGGAGGCATTTGGAAAGGCATGTTGTTAGGTACAGACAGATAACTGGGATTATGTTTACTTCTAAACCTATGATAAGGCAAATATTTATTGAATACTTCTGAATAGCCACACAGAGTACAGGATAAATCCTTTTTCCAGGCAGCGTGATGGGCATTTGCCCACCGGAGGGCCAATTTAATCCCCGGTTTAACTGGGTGACATGTGATCTGGAGCCCTGCTGAGGTGAACAGATTTTTGTCTGGAGCTATACATGATGTTGCCAGACAGATGTTTTAATACAGGGATGGGTTGATGTAGTTTTATGGGTTTTAGGGCTGAGCTGGCAAATCCATGCTGGGCCTAGTCTGTTTGGTGTGGTATTGTATCTCTTTTAATTCTGCTCCCCTTTTACTCTTTCTGTGATTATCCTGGTTGTGTGCTCATTATTCAGAGATCAGGATCATGCATTTGGCCATGGGTTGTGCAACTGTTTCAAATGGTGCCAAAATAGACGACATCTTCCTACAATAGGGGCATTTTTGTACTCATACAATGATTGTAGGATTTGACTTAATAAGGATGAGTGTGGCACTCGTCTTAAAAAAGATAGTAAGGTAATTGGTTTATCTATTCATTGTTTATTAAGTTCTCTATGCTGCTTTTCTGTTTTATAGTGTTATAAACATTTTTACTTTTACTGGACAAAAGTAGTAGAAATATAGAATTTTCCGAAATTTTATGAAAAACAACAAATATCCAAGTAACCCCAAACTGACAGATTAATCTACAATGAAAGTTAACATTAGCCGTCACCCATCACAGACCTTTTCACCACATCACTGTTGCGGTTCCAAGCTGGTTGTATTTCTGACAAAGCCACAGTAATTTATCCAGGCTTCAGAGCATTGCAGTGATGTTGACAGAGCAGTATTAGACGGTTTAAATCTCTCTGTTGTTCTCAAAAGCTAACGACTGCAGTTTACTAAGGCTTGGTTGATACGAGTCATTCTGGTGTCATAAATTAAACAGAATGGTGTTAACATGCAGCCCAAGCAGCTTCCAGATGTCCTTGTGTACAACAACAGAGACTTATCTTCGACACTGGCCTCGGGTTTCTTGCAGCATCAACTGCCAATTTAGTGATAACCGAAGCTAAAGAAAAACAACCGAACATCACATGCTGTAGGCCAGGAGTGCGGTCTGGTAATCTGCATTTTGCAGCTGAACTATGCTGACTGTGGGTTTGTTTTTGGCTTGAAGGTTTTCTCACGTTAAATAGATTGTCTCCTAAGGGCAATTGAACCTGCACGACATTCCAGCGTGTAGAGCTGCTGGGATAGATGTGACTTTTTACAGGATGAGGCCAGAATCCAAAACACATGCACACTCACACAAACATGCAGAAGCATAAACGAACAGAGAAACGTCTACTCTCCCTAAAGTCTTTTGTCTCTTTGTGTTTCTGTTTCGGCAGATTGATTTGCCAGAGATTCACTTACTCTAATAGGAAGTCTTCTCTTGGGGCTGTGTGTTCTGTGGATTGACTCGGATTCACACTTTTCCACTATTTGTTGTGACAGCAGCACTATTTAGGCAGTCTCTCTCAATTACTGTGATAAGATGACTGCTCTCTCTCTCTAGTGTCTTCCTCTCTTTCTTTGTCTGCTGTATCGGTAAATAGAACATGATATATACTTATATACAGACTGACGCAAAATAATCGTTTGGGTAGATTTTATATTGTAATACTCGCTCGTCTTTCTTTGTTGACTCCCTCTCTCCAGTTGTCTCCAGAACTACATTCCCCCAGAGTCCCTGACGCTCTCGTGTCCAGTGTGTCGGCAGACGTCCATTCTGCCCGAGAAAGGAGTTTGTGCTCTACAGAACAACTTCTTCATTACTAATCTCATGGAGGTTTGACTCTTTATCTCTTTTTTTAATTCAAGTCAGACACAAATGTGTTACACACAGGATTTTTAAGTGCGTTACATGGAACAAAAGACAAAACTCAGATGACTTAATAACAAAGATTATTTAAGATAAATACAGATGGTACTTAGGGAAATGGGATAGCGTGTCTGAGTGTTTCCTGCACTGCTGTCTTTGTGTTAAACAGGGAGAACATTTTTGCAGACTGAGGTCATTTCACCTTTAAAGGGGCTCTTTTTTTAGCATTTGCTTTGTATCTAAGGTTTCCATTGGGCATGTAGGGGTGATGATTAAGGTTACCATTGGGCTATAGGGAATGATTTGAATAGAGGGTGCTCAAATGGATAGCAGTACAAGAATGTGTGTTTATGTCTTGAAGAGAATGAAGTCCGCAACAGACTACAAGGAAATTCAGACAAAGTGAAAAGCATCTAGGGGCGTACCACGTACTGTTATGTCCACAATTTGATTTGGCACCTCTACCACCTCTCAATAATAAGTCCACTGCCAAATAAAGGAAAAATGCCCAAAATATACATATTCAAAAGAAAAGAAACAAACCCACCACAGTACATAAGAAAGCACATCATTATTTTACAAGTCTATTGCAAACTACTGAAAAGCAATATGATGAAGTTTAAAATGTCAACCAGGTCCTTCAACGAGACCCAGAGTGCTCACCGCCGGAGGCCTGCAGTGTCCTGGAGTCAGTCAGCGCTGCAGCTGCAGTGAAGCCCCTCTGCTGCCCAAACCACGAGGGAAAGGTGGGAAGCACAAACTGCCCTACCTTTTTAATTTATTAGCAATAATGAATGTAAAAGAAACTGAATCTTCAAATGTCCCACCTAACTGCAATGCCCAGCAAGAGTGAATGAGCTTTTTTACTCGGTTTGTCTCCCTCTGCAGGTGATGGAGTTCTACTGCGAGTCGTGTGAGACGGCCATGTGTCTGGACTGCACTGAGGGCGAGCACCGGGAGCATGTGACTGTTCCGCTGCGGGACGTCGTGGAACAGCACAAGGCTGCTCTGAAGACACAGCTGGATGCCATACTGAGCAGGTTAGGACTTGATACCTGGATAAAGCTTTCAGAATATTTCCTTCACATCAGGCGTTTGGAAGCTTAAGCATTTGGCCCAGATCTGGCATCTGCCATCAAAGATTTCCTATGCTATGCTGTGCCCATCATGTCAAAACACGGCCCTGGGTATAGCGACAGAGGCTCATTTGAGCTTTTGTATAGCTTTATAGCTCTTTAACGGGTGTTTTGTTCTACAATTGATGGAAGAAAATTTCACATTGTGTCAACTTCCAGGCTTCCTCAGCTAACAGCATCCATCGAGCTGGTGACGGAGATCTCCCGCCAGCTGAATGAAAGGAAGAATGAGGCGGTAGCAGAGATTACCAGCACGTTTGAGGAGCTGGAACGGGCGCTGCATCAGCGCAAGACGTCCCTCATCACAGACCTGGAGCTCATCTGCAGCACCAAGCAAAAGGTTATGTTTCACAAACTCATACATCTGATCCATGCACTCACACAGATGTGTACATGCATCTTTTTGTGCACAAACACATAAGCATTTTACAAGTAGTTGATCATGACCTGCCACATGTCTCACATTCCTGTCAACATACTTCAGCCTGCTGACTTTTACGCTTACCCGACCACAGGTCCTGCAGGCCCAGCTTTCATCTCTCCTCCAGGGGAAGGAACACATCCAGAGCAGTTGCAGCTTTACTGAGCGGGCTCTCAGCCATGGGAGTGCTACTGAGGTGGGCTGGCAGGTTGTAATATTTAAAAGCAGGATATCAAACAGGTTACAAGTTACAACACATATGACAATCAGCTTTTAATTGTGTTGCACTGTGTACCCAGATGTGCTTGGGTTTTGTGTAAAGGAATATGCAATATGTGTCTCCTGCAAGTATAGGTGCTGCTAGTTCAGAAGCAGATGAGCGAGCGGGTAACAGCGCTGGCCAGACATGACTTCCCAGAGAGACCACATCAGAATGCACACCTGGATTGTCAGGTATTACCAGTGGTGTATAGTAACGAAGTAGAAATACTTCGTCACTGTACTTAAGTCGTTTTTTTGGATATCTGTACTTTACTTTACTATTTATATTTCTGTTGACTTTTACTTTTACTTCACTACATTTTGCAAAGAAAACTGATACTTTTACTCCGATACATTTCCCCTGAAACCTTCGTTACTCGCTACAAAATCAAATCTATCTTTAGAAACAAAATGAATCATGAGACCAGCGTCGGGGGCTGTGGTGGAACAGAGACTGCGAGCAAGCAGGTTTGGTGAATCAGTGGTCCTAGCTTACAAGTTAAATCATTGGTTAATCACGTTAATGCGCAAAACAAGTGCTCTCAAAGCCGCGGTGTTTAGATTCCCAGTGAGGCCCAGGATGCTATATGCTAAAGCTAGCGAGCGAGCGACAACACGAGTAGAATTCCACACAGGACGGGTGGGATGAGGAGAGGTGGATGGGTCAAACAAACACTGGTGTTTCCTCCAGGAGGCCGCAGTTTGTGCCGTGCGTGAAACGAGAAGCCAATGTTGATTTATTTGCGACGTGACTTCCGTACTTAAGCAACGCCACTTCCGTAGATATTTTAACGCAAACCACGATCTTTTCCTCAACCTAACTAAGTAGTTTCATCGCCTAAACCTTAGTTGTTTCCTGTGAAGATGGAAGTTTATTTTGAAAAGACAGTATGCATGTAACAAGAGAAAACAGACTCATGTTGCTGGACTTTTGCAGGAAAAACGCACGAAAAGTGAGGAGTAACTTTTCGTAAGATATCAATAAAACGGGGATGAATTTATATCATTGTATAAAGAGAGTGACATGAGAAGATCAATCTCATGTCTGTAAGTTAAATCAGCTATAATCACTCTTTTAAAGTGATTAGTGACTCGTCTAAAACATTTAAAAAAGGAATAACTTCAATAGAATCATTCTATACAATGTAGCTTCTTTACATTCTAATAGAATGTAAAGAAGTTACATTCTATACAATGTAGCTTCTTTACATTCTAATAGAATGTAAAGAAGCTACATGTAGTAGAATTGTCTTTTGAAGATGAACAGGACATTTTTCAGTTTCCAGTAATGACTGGGTTGGTTGTTACTTTCGGTGCTGCTTTAGTATTGATCATGTTTTGATATTTGAGTCATTTAGTGGATGATCAGATGGAGTTATGATGGTAGCAGATTCAGCTTGAGCAAAACCTTTGCCTATTGTGTTCAAATCAGGCCCATAGGAGTTTACAAGGCAGGCGTCCTTTCTCACAACACTGACCTGATGCATCAAGTGGATATTCTTTGCTGAACACAATATGATGCATTTGCCCTCTACATCCTCTAGTTGGAATGAGCATACTTATAAACGCACTGTTACAACTCCTTCATAGTGTCATATTGCTTTTAGGAGAATTATGATGATAAGTTCATATTAGATGCAAAAGTATACTTATGTACAATATATTATGTTGAACATTGTTGCTGTTGGATGGATCACAGCCAACCCAATTATTTTCAACACAGCTCCATGTCCTTGGTCATGGCGCCACAGCACTTAAAAGAATAAACTTCATAATTCTCAAAATTCTGACCCTTTGCTTTTTTATTAACAGCATTTACTTGTACTTTTACTTTCAATACTTAAGTACATTTAATATCAGAAATTACTTTTGATACTTAAGTACAATAAATATCAGATACTTTAAGACTTTTACACAAGTAGTATTCTAATAGGTGACTCTTACTTTTACTGGAGTAATTTTCCAGTAAGGTATCTTTACTTTTACTCAAGTATAGCTTTTGGGTACTTTATACACCACTGGGTATTACCTGTTGCTTATTCTTATTCAGCCTATTTGTGTGTGCATCAGAAAAAAACATTTGTGAATCCTATATTTGTGGATTTTGTTTATATAATGATAACAATTTTTGTGTGAATTGAAAAATCTTTATAAATATTAGAAATTACAAAATACATTTGGGAATCCTTCTCAGTGCATTCATTAATATTGAGGCTGATTTTAACTCCATACACATGGAGCCAACCATAGAAATGTAACTTTTTAGAGCAATAAGGGATTCTGCAGTGGAAGATATTGTGTGCTGTCTACTCTAGGTGGAGACTGAAGGTCTGCGACGCTCCATTCAGAACCTGGGAGTTCTCCTCACCACAGCCGCTGTGGCTCACACCTCGGTTGCCACAGGAGAGGGCCTCCGCCATGCAGCAACTGGGCAGCACCACACAATTACTGTGACGACAAAGGACAAAGTACTGTCTTAAATATTTCGTCTCACTTCCATTTCCACGTGTAGAGTGAACCTTGGATAAAGCTAACAGATATACATTTTGTTTTTACTTTAATCTGTTGTGTCTTTATTTGCTTTAGTCACATATTTGAGTTTAGTTTTTCATTCAAATTCCCATTTCAAGCTATTTTTCTCTTTCAAGAAGTCATTAGTCAGGGATTATTATGAGTGTTAGTCTGTAGAAAGCGCTGCCTTAGAGGCTGCAACCATGTGCATATTGCTTGAGCAACAAGATTCAGAATTTCTTCTTGTTCTGAAATTGAATGAATGACCTCTCTCTGCAGGATGGCGAGTTGGTGCGGACAGGAAACGCTGTTTTAAAAGCAGAGATAACGTCTGTCGACGGGAGCCGCATTGCAGAGGCGGATGTAGCGGACAATAAGAACGGGACGTATGAGGTTGGCTACACGTTACGCTCTGAGGGAGAGTACTCTTTCGCTCTGTTGCTGTACGGCCAGCCGATACGTGGCAGCCCGTTCCGCCTGCGGGCGATCAAGCCCTCAGATGTGCCACAGTCTCCAGATGACGTGAAGAGAAGGGTGAAGTCTCCCAGCGGGACAGGGGGCCACATACGGCAGAAAGCAGTGCGTCGTCCTTCCAGCATGTACAGCACCACCAAGAAAAAGGAGAACCCCATTGAGGATGAGCTCATCTACAGAGTGGGTAAGACGGATGACCCGACCAAGAGAGAAAGTCCATACACTGCACGTGTCAAACCATGTACCATGCAGACATTACTATCATCACTGCTCCCCAGTTTCTAAGCCATACAACAAGTTTTTATGTTGACCCTTGAGGCAGTTTCTGTTGTCACTTCATGCCAATAGACTACAGGATGAAAATCAACTTGCTGTGACTTGGAAAAAAAACACCTTAACGAGCTACAGTATGTTGTCGGAAGATGAAACGTAGAAAACAAATTTTGTGAAATGACCACAGTAATAGGGAGAATGTGTTGGTCGCTCACATAAAGATAATGTTACTTGCATAAATGAATGAAGGTGAAATATTCTCACAGTGAAGGATTGTTTTTCTCAAGCAGGTTTCAAGTCTTTGCATTTTTTTTAACTGACATGAACCGAAACCTGCATTTGCCTGGAAGGCAGAAGATCAATCCAAACACTTAAGGTGTGTTTTGAAAAATAATCAGAAGGATAAGATAGTTTCAGTCCGAAACCACTGGTAATATTACAAACTGAGTCAAAGGTGAACATATGAAATGGCACATTTACTGAGTGGGTTATTGTTTACTTTTGTCAGGTACCCGGGGCAGAGAAAAAGGAGAGTTCACAAATCTGCAAGGAATATCAGCCTCTTGTAACGGCAGAGTGGTGGTGGCTGACAGCAACAATCAATGCATACAGGTGAGACAGACACAGAGAGGAAAATGCAACCATGATGCCTTTGTGGTCACATAGATTTGGAAAATACTGTTATAGTACTGTGATTATGACACTCAAAAGGGGCTATTTGGTGGAACCGATTACAGGTATTCTCCAATGATGGACACTTTAAGATGCGCTTTGGGGTCAGAGGTCGGTCTCCAGGACAGCTGCAGAGACCGACGGGCGTCACTGTGGACATGAACGGTGACATTGTGGTGGCCGACTATGACAATCGATGGGTCAGCATCTTCTCCTCTGATGGCAAATTTAAGGTGAGATCTCATTAATTTGTATTAGCTGAACAGACCCAGTATGCTTGTGTTGTGTGTGTGTGTGTGAGTGTGTGTGTATCATTATGGCAAAATCTGGTCCTGGAGACACGAGGAGCAGGAACTAACCCAGAGGCAGTTTTGAGTACTTTGCCAGGTGTCTAGGTGAGGTCTGAGCAAGGGGGCAGTCAGTCGGGGCGTTGAAGTGTTGAAGAGGCCATCGGTTCCCAAATGTTACGCCCACGGCCCGATTTTGCGTCATGGCTGGTGTGATCCTATTTCAAGAGGGTCTCTAGTTATAACATTTTGATGACATATGACACTATCACTTTTTATGTGACATTCTCATGACTGTCTTTTTGTCATTTTTTATGACATATTATGCTATGACTTTATATTTTCATGATTTTTCACTTTTTTTGCAAACTATACTATAACTTTTTTATTTTGCTCTACAATAATTAATATCCTTACTGCAAAGAACTATGATCTGTCATGGTATTATTAATTACTATACTATATATATACTTTCTTAGGTGAAATATAACAAAATATTATCACAATGGACGTATGCTTGTTAAAAATATAATTTCAAAGTCTTTCACGTTTTTCTTTCCCTCCTAAAATGGGTTGTCTTCCTTCCTTTTCAGAATAAGATCGGTGCAGGTCGGCTCATGGGTCCTAAGGGTGTCGCTGTGGACAAGAATGGACACATCATTGCTGTGGACAACAAGGCCTGCTGTGTCTTCATCTTTCAATCCAATGGGAAGTTGGTGACTAAGTTTGGAGGCAGGGGGACGTCTGACAGACAGTTTGCAGGTGAGAAGTATAAAGAAAGAGTTATTTTTAACACTGACGGGGAGCTCCCAAACAATACCCTCTCTTTCAACGATGCCATCTGTCAGAGAGGCAGCAGAGTCGACTGGCTTCTAAAGTAAATCCGTCATGATATTTTACAAACTTGCTTAGTATATAACGACACAAAGTATCCCATAGATACTATCTTCATTATTTTGGATTTTGAAAGAGGTAAATACATAAATACAGTAAATCAAATCTGCGAGAAATACAAAAGAAATTACAATCAATATTTTTGATGTTTTGTTGACATATTTACTGCCAGTATGAAAAAAACAATAATGTACTGTTGTTTGTATATAAACCAATGCATTGCATCAGATTTTACATTCTGTTTAAAAATATAAGCCTGTATATACATGAATGCAAAACCTCAGCGGTGCAGTGGCCCTCTGCCCCCCCCCCCACACACACACACACACACACGCACACACACACACACACACACAATCAGCACCTATGCGGACCACCCTACTCTATTTTCCTCTTTGCTTGTCCTTTATCTCTGACTACCTATTTTCCTTTCTTTCTGTTCTTCCTCCTGTTTTTCAATCCAGAAAAACTTGGTCCAAACTTTAATAAATCTGGCTCAGTTTTCAGTAAGTACTAAGTGTGGCCTTGCTGCAACCTTAATCCCACAGTGCAGTGCCCTCTGTCTAACCCAACTGCCTGATCATGTGCCTGCCCTCCTGAGAACTCAGATTGTTGACAAATCAAAGCTGTTCAATAACAATCAGAAATATGTACATGGCGTTGTATTAATCCCTTACTTTTACAATAATGAACATGTTGTCATGTGGATTGTGGTTTTTGTATCGATGGCTAATTAAGATCAGTGTGAATGATTTTCACTGCCCTGACTCCAGTGACATGAATGTAACCGATGCTCCCTGTTTGCCGCAAGACAATCAGTGTTGGAAGCTACAGAGCTGATTAGTTCTCAGCCGACATAAGCCTTTTTTTTTTTTCCAATAAACCATCATTGTTTATGGTGAATCTCGGAGCCTTGAGCCTTTCAATATTATGTCATTTAGAGATTTAGTATTGTTTTGACGATCTGAAAAAAACGGGAAAACAATTGTAACTCATGTTAAAGCATCTAAAGCATGAAAGGAATGCCATCACTATACTCTCCAGGCAAATCAGAACCGCTAACCATCTGATTTAAACAGGTTTCATAATTGCAGCTTCAGGCACAACAAGCTGAATGTTGTGTTGAAACGGCCTACTAACAGTAAAGGGAATGGTGCAAACTACAGGAATCAGTTTCTCTTCCAGGTACTGCAAATTCCACATCAACCTTCCTCTCTCTCCTTATCCAGGTCCGCACTTTGTCGCAGTGAACAACAAAAATGAAATTATTGTGACCGATTTTCACAATCACTCTGTAAAGGTAAGACATGCTACATATACATGTATACTGTCTACATAGTTTATGGTGAATCTATCAAAGTGCACATGGATAAAGACACAACGTGTGTTTTTACTGACTTACTGTCCCAGGTGTACAGTGCAGATGGAGAGTTCTTGTTCAAATTTGGCTCTCATGGTGAAGGCAACGGCCAGTTCAATGCTCCCACTGGTGTGGCTGTGGACGCCAACGGAAACATCATCGTAGCTGACTGGGGCAACAGCAGAATACAGGTGAGACGGGCTGTATTTAGTCTGCTATCACCTTCACAATTATAAGCCTTGAACGTTATTTTCCTCAATATATCTTTATATTTCAGCAAATGAATACACATTTAAGTTACAAAGAAAAAGTTACATTCAGTCACTAAACTCTATGGAGTAGGATGCATTTTATAGCACAGCAGCACATTGAACTGCGCATTCACAGCAGCTTGAAACCTGCAGTGTTGAATATTTTTGATTATTTAGTTAATGATAACAGTTTTATTGACACATGAACACTGAAACTCTAACCTTTGTGTTTTTCTATTTCAGGTGTTTGACAGCACAGGCTCCTTCTTATCTTACATTAACACCTCAGCAGACCCGCTGTACGGACCCCAAGGCCTCGCCCTCACCTCAGATGGACACGTGGCCGTGGCCGACTCCGGAAACCACTGCTTTAAAGTTTACAGATATCTGCAGTAGGCTGAGGGAAGACATCGCAGACACAACCTTTGCTTTAGACAAGTTACAATCACTTACTGCTTATGGACATCGAGCTGCAACGTGACTGCACAATTCACAACGGCCCCAGGTTCCACAAATGCATCTCCTTTTTATTGTGTCTGAACATACTTTAGAAGATCCAATATTCAGAGCTTAGGAGAAAGAAATTGAAGAAAAATGTTGACATTGAAACAACCAAAACACCAAAAATTCAAGTGTAATTAAAATGTATTTTAAAGACAAAGTGAACTAGCTATCCCAAATATTATAGCAAGAAGTGAAATTAATTACCTCTTTGAGGAAAAACAAATCTCAGCAGGCTATCCTGGTGATATAAAGGTTTATAAAGCAAATATTGAAAAAAAATTTGATGTAAAATATTTTAATGAAAAAAAATTTGATCACTCTGCCTACTTTAAACTAAGGCGAAAAACTGAACTGGAAATTAACTTCTGGAACAAGGTGTTTGACCGCACCAGTAGATAGCGCACCAGTCTGAAGTTGGTGATACACTGCAATTTCTTTTGGGCAATGCAGATGGGCAACACTCCCGGCAACCAGCAAACAAACTGAGACACGGATGGAAAAGTGCACGACCGGTTTTCTGATTATGCTTTGTGATTGAAATAACAATGCTCAGGCCTTTCCTGGAACACCGTTGCATGTCGGTGTGTGCTCTAAAAAACAATGACCCTGTCATCACTGCCTTCAATTTGTCATTAGTAAATACAACACACGCAGACAGGAATGTGTTGTTTAAACGGGATTGTTTCTGATTCTCCTTTTGCACTTTATCACTCTGACACGATCCTTGCTCATGGATGTAGATTTTTGTTTTCTTTGAAGTCACAAGATGATTTTACCGAAATCCAAGTTTTTGCTTTGTTACCCAAAGACAAGCAGCAAGAAGCACAACAGTTAATAAACACATGGTTTGTGAACACAGCATCTAGTTATTCTTCTACTGACAGAACAAACCTGTTGCATCTGACCCCACTAGTTCTTGTACTTTTGTGTATTCATATCTACAACCTAATGTAGTTGTACATACGGTATTGCATATCCATGTAATTTCAATATATATCCTACTTATTGCAGCACTTAATGAATCAACACTGGATCATATATTAACACAGTAGAAGGTCATGCCACGTAGTAGCCAACTGAATGACATCAATGGAACAAAGTTGTATACACATTATTTGTTGTATTTTTCTTTATTTTCCAAAGGACTTAATTTATTTTTCTCTTTTCTTTTCTACATAATTTGCCCTAAAAAGTATTTTTCTAATTGGTGCATTTCAACTGTCTTTGTATTCAGGCCTTGTAACTTGTAGCACTGAAAGCCGCTCTCTCTCTCTTCTGCCTCTTCCCAGACCTCACATCCAGTTAAACACTAACCTTTCCCGCTGCCAAAACGCATCGTTGTAAGTTGTTGAACATTGCACAAATTACAAATATTAAAACAGTTCTATAGTTTGCAAGAGTAATATATGCCTATATGTGTATAGTTATCATTTACTGTGACATAATCTGATAGTTTACTGTACATTACAATCACCTTCTTATCTTGGGTTTAGCCAGTACTTGTATTCATTTGCTTGGTTGTTCGGTGTTTTGAAGGTTTTCTGTGAGGAACACAACACCAGCTAAAATCAGACATTTTTTTATTTTATGAATTAACTGTCTGTCCCCAATAATTGATCAGTAATCCATTCGTTTCTTTCCATCTGCATTTCACATTTAAAAAATTTGACATGCATTTGAAAACTTAATAATCCATAAATCCAATCCCTGTGTTCCTTTGGTTTTATTTTTATATCTATCTCAGCTGTCTCTGACCTACTCACATCTGTGTGAAATAAAGGAAGCACATATATAAGAACCGGTACATCGACCATCTTGTGTAGCCTGCTGTATACTACAAGAGGCCAGTTTTACAATAAGTTATCACTATATTTACGTAATCATGGCAAAGGTAAGACTGTAAATATTAAAGAATTACACTATGAACTGTTGTGTAAATGCTCCGGTTTGTTGAATAAGACTTCCTTTATCGTGTACATCTTTATGACGGCTGTAACCGTACACACTATGACATGTTAATGGCATGTTGCACTACAACCTACAATATAATCAAATGTTTTATGGCAACTACATTTTTTATGAAATTTTATGGCAATATATACTATAACTTTGTATGACGTTTTTTACAAACTGTATTAGGACATTTTTTATGACTACACGACATTTTTAACAGTGAAATATGATAAACTGCATCAGGGGTGTCAAACCAGCCCGCCTTAGGGAACAATTCAACCCACTGGATGACTTCACAAAGTATGAAAATTGTCATTATTTCCAATTATACAATAAAATGGATGGAAAACTGCCAAAATCAGCATCCTAAGAGACTTCTCTGTAACCAAAATGAGTCATAAAAGACTGACATCCAGAATATGGTGCATAAGGTCACACAGCCACTATAAGTTGTGCTCATTATGCTGTTTTTTGTGTCCTCTATTGAGGCATACACCAATTTGTCCCAACAGTGCGTAGAGCCAGTCACCCAGTGGTGCAACTTACAGAACATAGTTTTGATCAGTCTAATGAATAGACACTCATGTTAATGCATTTGCATCACATTGTAATTATATGGCCCTTTATTAAAGCCACATTACTGCACTACTGAGTCATTACCAGAGCAGAGAGAACCGTTTTCCCACCTCCTTAAATGTTCTGGCAGTATGGAATTTAAATCGGCAACACCAAACCGTCAGGCGGGTAAATGAGAATGCTGGACCAGAATAGCAAACAAAGAGCAACAGCCCTTTTGAGAAGCCTCTTACTCTAGGCAGCAGTGTGTTCCCTTGTTTCATGACAAGTGTTTAGGATGTAAACAAACAAAAAAGCCCTTAACAGGAACTTGCTGTTTGTTATTCAGGTTTAAAAGTCAGATCATCCAACAGCCTGTGTAGCCACTAAACTCAGTGAAAGAAAGAAATTAAATAAGTTCAATACGGTTAAGTGGCAAAAAAAAACCAAAACAGAAGACCGGTTGTCTTAAAGATAGCACTGAGGTTCTTGAAGAGAATGTAATTCAAAGTGTTTTAAATCTCATTACTGGCTAACCATATTAAAAACAATAACTAACGGAGCAGGTTTTGACAGAGCCACTGTGGGCAAATAACTAACTGTCCAGCAATCCCCTGTAACCCTAACTAATTTGTTGTTTTGCTTTTATCCCCCATGTTTAATGAAAAGAGGGGTAATAACACAGAGCAGCGTGTACAGCAAGACAACGGCTTCAAAACGGGAAATAGTTATTTTTCCTCTTTTAGTCTCAAGTCTGAGAAACACTGAGCACAGTGAAAGGGCCACAGACTCCCAAGATTTCCTTTATGTCACACTCAAAGACACAGCTCAGATGAATACATGAATGAATTGTATTTATAGGTATACCATCAAAAACAAAACATTAGCAAATAATCAAGAGCACAGAGTTCTGCAGTCCTACCACACCAACACCGTAGTTCGCAATTATTATCACGAATCATGCTGTTAAATGTTTCGACTATGCTCCTTTATAAGATCATGTGTATAATAATAAAATGGCACCGTGGAACCATGTGAGATGGCAAACATCACATGTAGGTCCTTAACCGCACAAGCAAAAATAACCCCAACAATAAAACCATGTTTAGCACAGATGCATGTATTTTCACATTAATCATCAATAATGAAAAAGAGAAATCACACGGGACCAAATTGGATAATAGACCTTAAAACGTCGAGACCAATATGCAGCACTAGGACCAACTCTAGCAATTAATAATCTAAAGCAGGATTACTTAAAGAAATAGTGAAGAAAATGCAGCAGGTCATTTGTAAAAGGAAATAAAAAGCGTGAACATGTAATAAAACATTCAGCGTTCCACAGGTTTACATTTTGGTCTCATGGCTGTTGATGGAACGCTTATTAAAGTACAACAGTTACATTTTCACCCGTTAAGTAACATATTTGAAGACATGGCTGTAAATCTTAATAATTTAAATATTTGAAAATGGTTTGCTTCGTCCTGCTCATATTTAAGCAGACCGATTTTTTTTTTAAAAATACTTCTAAAAAGCAAAATGGCAGGACTTCATGATTCAGTATTACTGCTAAAACAAAGTAGCAAAATGGTTCTCGAAGCAATATTAAGAGGAATTCTCAAGTCCAGCAATGTTAAATGTACATAATAATAAAATGAAGAAAGAAAGAATAAAAGGAGGCGATTTAAAAAAGGCTAATGATAAAATGATCTGTACGGACGTTAACATCCACAAAACAACGAACCCGAGCTTTGCCTTCCTGGAAGTCTAATCACTGTCTGGCCGCTGAAACCTCAGTACGAGCCAATTTCAACTGATTCACTGAACACTGTTCTTCAGTCTAACATTACTGAGGGAATCTTAACCGTCAACAACCATCAATGTGAGAACGTTGTTATATTTCTTTCAAGTTCTACCCAACAAGGACATAGCACTGACCCTACCTGGCAAAAATAAATGAGCCAATATGATTTAATGTATAATATAGTATACGGCATAGTGATGGCTAACAGGATAAGTGCCGCTCTAATCAACCAGAGCATCTGCATCCCAGCAGACAGTGATATAAACACACTCCCAGCCACAGTAGTCGGGGGTTTAGGCCTACAGTGCGTGTCTAGGTTGAAAGATCGAACATTTCCAACCTCGAAATGAGAAAATTTAAGCTTCCCAAAATGAGATGAGACACCTGGTAACACGTATTAATTTTAACTCATTTTCCATCACCAGTGAGAACAACAAGTAACAGCTCAAATGCATAAAGTACATTCAACATCACTGTGTTACACCAGCCTCATCTGTAAGACAAAACATTGCTAACAGCAAATCTGGAAACACTGGCCTACACGAGTTTGCCGTTAGATTTAAAGACCCCATCAGTAATAATGGCATATCTGCATCCTGCTGCCTGGATCATACTTCCCCGGGCTGAAGAAAGGATAGACCGGTTCGTCAAAGCAGGTGTCAAACATGTACAATCGCTTCATTGTGACGGCGTCATAGAAACTAAGGCGCCCGTTGTCGTAGTCCAGGTACACGCCGACCCGAGGGGAGTTCCAGTAGTCGGCTACGGGGATGCGCCTGTCCTCTCCGTTGGCATACAGCCGGTCCTGCAGACACAGGCTCCAGTATCCTGAGGAGGGGGAGAGGCTGACGAAGCCCTTTCTGTTGCTACTCTCGGTGGTGACTCCGAGGTACCAAACACCTTTGTCCTTCACATCTACCTCCCAGTAGTGCTGGCCGCTGGCGTACTGGGCCGTGGCGAGGACACCACAGAAGCGGGTGAAGCGGGCCGGCAGGTCTGGCTCCTGGTGACGAATACCGCCCTCCTCCACTTTGGTGTCGAAGTCTGAGATGATCAGGTTTGGGTGGGCCGTGTCTGGATCTAAAGTGAGGTTCTGAGGCACTGCGCAGACAGAGATTGGGAGAAGTTAGTTCACCTCGCTCTTAAGATTGGGCTGAAGAGAAGAAGCGGCAGATTTGTACTCACTGGTATGCAACACATGCATCATCTTCTTCCACATAATGAGCTGGAAGGGGCCTGAGAAGTCTGTGAATTCGGTCTGACAATTAACCGTGTCGAGAGATGGAAAAGGCTTGCTATGGATGACTCTGTAGAAGAAAAATGGGAGAAAGAAAAGTATTATGCAAAAGGTAGATTCAATGTTAAAGATATCGGTTCATATCAAATAAACAACAGGAAGCTACTTACTCATTGAATGTCTCAGCAAGGCTCTGTTGGAACAAAAAAGGCATATTTTGATTAGTATTTAACACACTTCATATCAATCTCTTGGTGGGGGTTTCAACATGTTTAATAAGATGTTCTTGAACCTTCGGTTCCGTATTACTCACACACAATAATTGTCCATTTCTAACAGAAATCCTTCTCTACTGTGAAACTCTAGCAGACTGACCTCAAAGCTAGTTTTCCCACCGACGTGGCCGTGGATATCAGCTATAGCTTTATCCACGGCCGCCATCTCCGTCTCGACAATCTTCAAGTTCTCGTCTACGACGGCCATGGTGGCAACTTCCTCAGCATCCAGGCTCTCGAGCAGGGAGTCTCTCTCGTCGAGCAAGAATTGGACCAAGGCGCCAACATCGGCCTCAATCTTCTCCTTGAGCCTCTTCTTCTTCAACTGGAAGACAGATGTTTTCAAAGGATTAGGATGAAGGATCCAATGATGATACAAGTTCAAATGTATCCATGTTCAGTCAGTGTTAAGAGCAACATTTCAGTGCAGTGTGCATCCAATGTTTATACATCAAGTACTTCAGGACTACCAATTAGGCCTCCAAGGTGATTTGCAATATTGCATTTAACTGAACTTTCGGGATAGGATAAACCTGGGAAGTTAGAGAAAGTTGTAATCTTGAAAGACGACTTAAACCAAACATGCATATGCATGTAATGTACACAGCCAAAAAACAAACAAAAAAAAAAAAAAAAAGTCCATTCCATACCCTCGCTTCATTTCTGGTACGCTCATCAGCTGTTAAAACTTTCACACATTGAGACTTCTGCCAGTTGAGCTCCATTAGCCTCAGTTTCAACTCCATCTGTAACAAACAGATACATCAAGACACATGTACACAGGAAAAGAGACAATGAATCATATCACCACAAACAATATATTACATGAACACTTCGACTTACCTTCATGTCATTCACAACCTCTGGCACAGGCGCTACCTCATGGTGTCTGAAACCACAGTAAATCAAATGACCAGACAGTTAGTGGTTTACAGTGCAATTTGTCACACCATCCCAAAACACTCTGCCTGTGGAGTTCTCTTTTAAACAAACAGAAGTTATGTTTTCATTCAGTGCTTCTTATTAAACAGCATTGTGTGGATCCTCGAGGTCTAACAAATGAGTGCATCCTTCCTCGTAAAGCATTAGAAAAGTAGATTTCTAAATATTTCCGTTTTCTACACCAAAAAAAAAAAAAAGCTGTGAATTCCAGATGCACGTGCACCCTCATGCATAAAAACAAAACATAACCCACTTGTAAAAAACAAACATAGGAGCAGGATTCCCAAGAGGCATCTAATCAAACTGTGGGTGCATGCTTTAGGAACTCTTATCTTTTGAAAACGGTCATTATTGTATTGCAGAAATGCAATAGATGCCATGTGCAATAAATAATGCACATGGCATGAAAATGCAATAAATAATAACTGTTTTCAAAATCTCATAATAAAGTACTGCATACTACACACTAACTCACTATGTACTGTATACTGCCTATTAGTATGCCAGTACCAGCAGACTGTTCACTGAAGTATACTCAAGCAAAAGTATTCTCTGCATCATATGACTATCAATCACGGCGACAAGGTTAAATCTACACGAACAATTTTATGTTTTCTGGTATTATTTTAAGGCAAATTAAAAATCATTAAATGTTTTAGTGTTATGTATTGTCTACAGTACATTATACAAGTGAGCTCTCAACTATACGTTAATGTCACTCGCCATCATTTTACATCACACGCTGGCATGCAGACCCCTCATGGGTGACAAACACAATGCTGATGCTCGTCATGGTGTGACCGACTCACACGCAAATCTGCTTCTTGTGCTAACCTCAACACATGTTGCTAACAGCGTGCAGCTAGCGGCGCTGAAAGGTAAGAGGGTCGAGAATGGTATACAACACCAGTATTGCAAATTCAAATGAATTGAAGTACACTTCAGTCATTTCAACAAAAGTCCACTCCACGTTAAAACGTTCACGTCCGAGCGTATGCTCCACTTTTTAATATCAATGTCAGTAAACGGCAAGATTTAGCTGTACACCTACTCAAAGTTAGCTTAAGAAAAGGAAGATTCTAAAATCTTGAAGTCAAAATTACAAGCGCATATTCGAACTGAGAGCACATTTAGTGCTCTATAATAATTGAATGAGTGTACTTGAATACGGAGATTACATAAAATGCACATCACTACCCTGCAACACCCATGCTCGTCTGACCCCCACAGTAGATACCGATGCAGACATTTTCTTCTTTTGAAGACAAGAGTGACTGTATGCGTGTTACTAACTTGGCTTCTTCCCAGAAGTCTGTGCTTTCTCGCCTCGCAGGTTTCCATGGACCGTGGTTGTGACACCCACTGCTATTATTATTAATCACATTTCTTTCACTGCTGCCATTACTGATCTTATATCGTTCTACTTTATCTATTATATTATTTACATTATTAGGACTACTACTGCACGACTACTCTCATGAGTCTATTTCTGTCACATGGATTGACTATGTTGCAGTTTGATTATGTTGTTTATTCTGTGCACATGGCATCTATTGCATTTCTGCAATACATGTGGGAACCCTCCTCAGTTGCTCTCCCCACTCTCTCAAAATCAATTATGTGCATCTACAGCTGCATGTTCTGATCTAGTGAGATATGAAAATTTACATTTGCAAGGAATAGAAAACAATGGAATTAGTGCTTTGGTGGTCGACTCTGGTATCTCTTCATCGGAACAATCGAGGACAAAAAGACAGATTGAGTCATCTCATTATGGTTCGAGTGTGGGCATTAGCATGACTAAGACACAATGGCAGGGGTAAGAACCCCGATTACTAAAAGATATGAACTGGGTATTGCTTAGGATTCCAATTTGTCAAAGTATTAAGGTTTCTTGTACAAATTTAAATGGGAACTTTGTTGAAACAATCAGAAACGCGATAATGGTTAGGTCCCTGTTATCAGATCAATACTTCAAACTTTTATACAAACAATTTGAGGTTTCAGAAGTCTGGTTACTGTCAAACTGTGGGAATATCAGCAGTCTCTATAATGCATGCAATTACAGCTACAATGTGGCATGACATGGGTTTTAGGTTCTTCTGCGTGAGCATTAAGTTTAATTTGTATTTGTACAGATTCATTCACCTGGCAAGGTCTACTGGTAACCTGACCTGTGTGATGAGCTACCTTGATGAATTTTACAAAAGAAGAACCCCTTTGTCAAAGCAAACAGATCGATAACCAAATATGTGTCGATAATTCCCATAATGATGCAAACACGACCAACCTGTGTGCTCTGGACTCCCTGCAGACCACACAGATGGGTCTTTTATCAGTCTGGCAGTACAATTTCAGCTCCTCTCCATGTTGGTCACACTTCTGATCTACTTTAACGGGCTTGGAGGGTGCAGGACAAGACCCCAGACACTCCAGGTCGTCGAGTTTGTCCACCAGGTTCTGCACGAGGTAGTTTTTAGTGAAGCTCCTCTTGTTGAACACCTGAGAGAACAAATACAAACAACTGAGAAAGGCGCAGATATCTGCTTGTAGTACTTCGTCCACGATGTGCATTTTATGTTGTGCATTAAATAAAATCCTTTACAGCTAACACAGTTGGGTCATTATCGTTAGCCAACTTCCCTGCTGATAATTTAGCGTTACCGTTATCTAACGTTAACCAGAATAGCAGCGGTAGCTACAAAACTGCTGTTCTGAGAGTATTATTTTTCACAAAAACAACTAAAACTAGCTCCTCTAAATCCCCTTGTGTGTGCATGAAAGTACGTTAATACGGTTTTTCACACATGAACCGTACATATTTTGTGGGGGGGGGGGGAGCACGGTAGGAAAAAAACAACGCGTATAATAACTTACCGTCCGGCATTGAGGGCACTGATACCCGTAGTCTCCGCCATTTTCATCCCAGTGCATGCAGATGCAAAACCGACAGAAATTATGCCCGCATTTCAGTATAACGGGGTCTTTGAAAAAGTCCAAACAAATAGCACACGTGAGCTCTCTCCTCAGGTCGTCTCCAGCTGCAGCAGCGGTAGCCATGTTTACAAGCCAACAGCAGCACAACACTGCCAGTGCAGGAAGTAAAGGAGGAGGAAGGAGAGAAGCGCGCGCATTTGTGGTGCGTCACTTCCGATTTAACCAATCAGATTCTTCCCTCCCTCTCTCTGCCTCAGTATCGCACTGCTCATATTCTAATCAGGCAGTATCAGGTATTAGCAAATATTTAGGGCAGTAAAATAATACTTAATGAAATCAAGTTAATTATTGACATGTACAGATTCTACTGGCTTGGTGTAGGGTATACAGCCTAATGCATTTCATTACATCAGTTACATGAGACATGAGATTAGAACGCTTTATGTCTCGACTCCCAAGTCTACTGTTCTGTATAAATACTGAGTAAATCAACAACACAAGTAAGCAACACTATTTATTCTTAAATACATATACATAAAAACCCATTCTTAAAAAGACACAAACTGAATATCAAGTTTGATTGTTTGTGCTAAAATTGTCATATACATGGGGATAACTGGCTGTGGAATATACATTACATTGCATAGCTTGGATTGGCATGTGAAGGATGTGACTCAAAAAGTGCATTTGATGTCAGATATGGTGTTATTTCCAAATTCATCAGGGGAAAAAACAAAATCGCAGCACTGTCCTAGCAGACTATTACGTGCATGAACCATCACATCCCTCGCTGATTCACACCTCAGCTGATTTCCAGCTCATGTTCATCACATTAGCTAGCCCTGATGAATATTGGAAATAATTATACAATGATGACAACACCATAATAAGACAAATATTTAGGAACATTGACCCCAGCATGTTGTATATCCATAGCAGAGTAAGACACAGGTTTAACAACACATGTAAACAAGAAAGTTCACCAGTGATATCAGCAAAATAACGAGACAGCAGATTATATCAAATGCCTCAAACGTAATATTTTTTCCTCGAGACATACCGATTTGTAAGCAGCTATTTTGCATCCTTTGTTCAAAAACATGACTCAGAACACTGAAATCCCACACAGTACGAGTGACAAATAAAGCTTCCAAGAACATAATATGAGAAGAATAGGGGTCAAAACATTGGATATGAATAAAATATGTGCATGTTCACAGCACCACACTTATTAGCAATGTAACACAGAAGTGGGAAGTGGATTTTTCTTCAGTCAACAGTAGTAAATTGTGTTACAAGACACGGTCCATTGCTGTAAAAGAAATAACTCCTGAGATGAGTGTCTCTATTCACACATACCTTAACCAGTGCTATCTAAAACAAAAAAAAAAGAAACATTACGCCCAAAATATGTTGAATAAATATGACAATATCACAGAAATACACAGTGGAGCAACAGCATGGATAGCAGTAAACATTGTGGTAACAAAGCAGCGATGAACTGTAAACACATGAAGCAGGAAATAACTGAGTTTTCAAGAATACAAATAGTGGGAATAACCCAACTCAGCAGCAACACAAATGCTCAATACATCTAACATCATATGGTAAAAAAAAAACAAGATTAGGTGGTTAATAAACATAAATTCTAACTGCAGTGGTATGAATCGCCTGTACTCTGATAAGAGACTTCTGCTTGTTTTGTTCACAGATATGAAACAGGTGGTGGCATCTTGCGTTTTTGTTTTTCATTACAAATTCTGTAGCTCAGAACGAGTGTCTCCGCAAATATTTTAGGACAAAATTGTTGGCCTGAAGGCACAGTTCCTCCCAGAATGCATCATTTTCACAGTATAGTCTTACTTAGGCTATGGGTTCTATATTGACCTGTTAATCCCCAATATTTTCATACATTTTATTATCATCTGGCAATTGATGAACTTTAGGACAGTGAGTGAAATTATAGTGTCAATATTGGACTTTTGCATCAATAACAGAATTGTTAAGATACTAAACAATTGGACTATGCTGCACAATGTGTGCAGAAATCTGTTGTATCCCTTGCAAGTAGATGAGATTATCTTGATACCATTAATATCTTGGTACACAGACAGTACCAGAGCTCACAAACACAAAGTTTTAACTGACACAGGGGCTGGTCAATAACATCTGAGTGTTCTTCTTGAGGTGAACTATTCCTTTCAGTATGAACGTTGACATGATCTGGTCCCCTTTAGCCGAGGTAAACCTGCAGCACTAAATCTCTGACTGGGCCTGCGTGACACTAGCTTTATGAGAAAAAGTGCTCTCAGTGACTGGTTTTCTCCAGAAGGGATATAACGGCTTCAGGGACTTTAACACCCCAAAGCTAGTAAGTGAGAAATGAAATACCATGCTACTAACTGCACAAGTTGGAATGTTAAGTGAAGACACCCTATAGGACTCTGTGCTGTTTTCCGTCGCAGTGATCAAGGTTCGTAAAGGTTCCAATACTGTATAAATCCTCCACTAACTGGCAAACACACACACACACACTCACCCAATAACGCATATGATCAATCTCAGATTTTTGGTGTTATGAAAGCAATTAATTACCAGTTAAAAAAGAAAATAATCCAAAATTGTATAAAACCCTCACGTACTCTTCATCCCTTTGTCCATCTGTGCATCCACGCATCCACTGCTCAGACCTCTGAGCTGTTGTGGCAGTCTTGCATCCTCACCACCAACATGGGCTCTGTACTGATAGACCCTTTCACCACCTCCTGCACCCCCTCCCTCCATCCCTCCTTCCCATCCTTCTGTCTGGATCTCAGCACCAGTACTATGGTGACAATAATGAGGGCGGTCAGCAGCAGCCCCACCAGTGCCCCCACCATAGTCACCAGACCCTCTTCCTCCTCCTCTGCGTTCAGCTCACTGGGTTCCAGCCCATCGGTAAACAGCTCATTCGACCCCCCTGCCTGTCTCTTGGTGCGGTCCAAAGCGATGTGCATGATATTGGTACCACGGTTGTTGTCTGCTCCGATATCTTCAGCAATATCTGGGACTTCATCGCCGGCCGACCTCCTGAAGCGATGACCTTTGCCGCTCGATGGGGTCAAGGCGATATCATTGCTTGTGGAAGCCAAGGAGTGGTACTCCAGGCTGCGTTTTCCAATTCCTCTGTTGACACTCTCTTTGGAGCGGACTGTGTAAATAGTGTGAATGTACCACTCACGGCCTGCAGCAACCTGAGGAAAATACCAACAAATGCACATATTAGAATTATGTTCAATTCACAAAATGAGAAAACAGAATTGATTAAGACTCCAAAATGAACACATCTCTCAAAAATAAATGTCTACATCAATGTTTGATAAGATGGGACCTGCTGGTGCTAAATTGACTCATTAGACTTTGGATTTCTGGCAAAAGTGCACTTAACCAGCTTTGAATTGATTTAATGTAATGATGATTCAAAATACGATAACTCTGCACTGCAGTGGTAACAATCCCCAAGGATTACATCACAACAAAGCCTAATGTCTCACAGCCATTGTCGACACAATACAGCAATCAAACCATCACACAAGGACAAAGCAAAACATAGAGTTCTGTACAGACAAAATTGTGGCAAAGCCAACATGTTCCAAGGTCTCTTATAGCGCAAAAATCTGTCTCACAATAACACATGTACAGTAAAGCTTTTTGGATGTTTTATACATTTAACTTACTGTAGCTACTGCTTCACAATACAAATCTGTCACTTGCTATGAGGAGCAGTAAGATGATGAATACCTGGAACATGGCTGTAGAGTCCAACCTAAAGCCATCAGACCCGGGCTGTTTGACGAGGGACAAGGCCGATGGATCATCCACTGCCAGCGCAGCATTAAAACTGACATCACCAAACACACGTGCCTGAGTCTCTGGCTGAGCCTTGTCCTGTTGAGGTGCATTAGATTAAGGGGGAAAAAGGAAGTAAGGAAATATGTTTTTGTTTGACTGTAAAATATTATTTTGCATCTCTCTGCATACTGAAATTGCATTATTTAAAACCTTAAATAAACTCACAATAATCTTGAATCTATAGAGCAGGGATGGAGAGTCAGCCAGGCAGCCAAATTCAAACTTTGTTGGGTTGTACTTTGGTACGTATCCATCAGCACCAGTACAGAGGAACACCTTCTCTATGCTACAGAAGAAAGAGTCCCCCAGGTTCTGCACAGGGTCCACCATCACACGGCCGTAGATCGTATCACCTGAAATAAAAGAGGAAATGAATCCTAAAGTCTACACCATGTTATTATTATGAATCATCAATCCAAGAAACACAGACTATTCAATGGAAGTAAATGGAAATTAATTTAAAGGGCTGTAGTCCTGTTTTTTTTATGTTTTAGCAAATAACTTAAAATTCATGTACTTTACTGTTAACCATGTTCACAGCATACCACTGCTTTTAAATGTATCTTCTATCTTCAAAGTAAAGTCCCTCTTTTCTTTCCATGATGTCAATGTTTGCATTTCGGTTGTTTTCCAGGATTGATTTGGGAATTAAATGCTTTTAGGCAAAAAATACCAGACGTCAGTTCCACTCAACAAAATAACTATTTACAAAATAAAAAAGCTGATGTAATGTTCACTGTGATGGAATAGCCACAGTAGGTCAAGCAAGGTTTATTGTTGGCAAGTCAATTTTCATATTGTGCTGACATGGACTCAAACCAATGTAGAAAAAAAGGTAGAAAATCAATCTAAAAACTTGGCACACTTTGCAAAAAAATGACAGAAGTGATGTAAAACAAATTTTACGTGTAGACAATGGGATACAAACATCTACAGTCTTTTGAAATCTTCCTTCTACTAAAAAGTCTTTAGACGTGTTGAAATGTATCCATGTATATTCACATTCATACTGTGATATTGGCCTGTATCATTGTCATACGTTATTCACGTCACTGAGACAGGGAGTCTAGTATAGCGGCCTTGGAGCCCGGGTAAAGATAGAAGGGGGGTGAAGCAGATAAACAAGGAATGCAGGTTTTCCAACGGAGGGGAAAGCAAGCGCTGGTCACTATGACGGGCGTCCAGAGGTGGAATCAGGAGAAGACGAGTGGGAAAGGAGACTGTGGTTAATCAAAAAACCCTCTGTTATGACTTGTCCGAGGTGCACAGTGT